TCCTCCTTTTTTGAACTTCCTGAGTGGCAGCTATGCAATACATACTTCCCCGATAAATGAAACCACTCAGCTTGATTCTGTAACAAGCATGAGCCATGCTGAGAAGTAAATAATATCATGACATAGTAAAGGATGTTGTGGCCAAGCCCGTAGCTAGTGTGAAAGGGAACGGAAGATGATCTCCAGCTTTTTTGTGGTTCAAATAGAGAGGGGGGTTTTGCAGGCAAGCTCTTCAAATGTGCTAAGCCCAGTATGCAAAATTTTTTCAGGGGAGAGACAAAACCGTTTCATTCTTTTAACAACTGCCCTGACAATATGTGTTTTTGCGTACATTTTTTTCAACAATTGGAATTTGAAGTTCTACAAAAATTTCTGGATCACCTGGAACAGATACTACAGATTTAAGAAACTGCAATAACAAAAATTCTCAAAATTTTGGGCTTAGTTGATCTGAGCAGCTGGCTGACAATATGTTGAAGCCAGATTGCTAAAATTTGCTGTCTGTGGGATTTTTCTGTCTGGAGCAAATGTGTGAGTTGTGAATTATGTAAACAGCTGTTTCATGTGTATATATTGGGGAAGTGCTTCTCGCTCAAAGTTTCTGGGTTTTAAAAACATTTCTAATAAGAGAACTGCACTGTGTATGGTGACAGGGAAATTATTTGATCTGTGGATTGATAGCAGCATCAACAACTTTATAGGTTGCTTTAAGTTAATGAGATTTTTTTTGTTTGTATCCCGCAGTTCCGGATGGAGCCCCTGAGAATGTGAAGATTGTTGCTCTGACAAGAACTGACATCAAGATCACCTGGACGGTGAGTAGATTTTGTCATTGGGGTCACAATGTCTTAGCTCTGGGTTTTAAGCAAATGGTCACATTGCTATTGAAGAGAGTTATATGGAAAGTCTCAGTTCTACCATGAATTTATAAGGAAGTTTTGGAAGGACACTGTTCTACAATTAATTTTGAAGAGAAATATGGAATGTCTGCGTTCTACGATGAATATTGTTCGGGAGGTTTGGTGTTCTGTGTTTATGTTGAAGGGGTTATGGAAGTCTTTAATTCTGTCAACGAATGTTGAAGAAAGTTACAAAAGATTCTAATTTCTACTTGTGAATGTTGAAGAAAGTTATGGAAGTCCTTCGTTCTGTCTATGTATGTTGAAGGAGTTGTAGAAGCCTCCATAGTCCTGCATCTTCTACTACAGATTTTACCTACTCCATGATTTATTAACCCATCGTAAGATTTGTAGATCACAGAACTAAGGAAGAAGAAAAATCTTAGATTTGTTTCAGGGACTGGTGATCGACATATAGGATAGGGAAAGAAAACTTGAGCACAGTTGGCCTACTGGGTTTCCTGTCAGCAAAACACTGAGCCTCACTAACTCTTGTAGTATGTTGTTGTTGTTGTTATCGATCCAGCTACAGCTGGGCTCTTGCCTTTCTGTTAATGCCATGTAGTGATAAGTGCAGGTTTGCTGCAGTGGCTGTAATGTTCCATAGAGTGTGTTGTCAATGTTAGGTCTTGAAGGCAGAAGTGTAGTTTTGATGTCATTTAGTGCTGTGCAGTGTAAAAGGTGATCTTGCAGTATGTAAATGTCTAAAAGTCATGTTTGCACTGGCTTGTCTGCAGACAATTATTAAGTTGTCTTAAATAAATGTATTTTTATATTGCCTTACTTAATACATTGTTGTGAAGGTGAAGTGCCTGAGCCATTGCTTAAAAAAAGAAAGGGAAGAGGCATGATACTGAAATTGTAAATAATCTCATATTCAAGCATAAATGTGCCGCTGTGTTTTTATAGTAGTTAAGGAAGCCACTGTTCCATCACAACAGACAACAGTCTTTGTCCTGTACAACCATACATTTTATGACTTGTGGAGATTGTGCATACGGGTAATTAGTCAAACCAGTGCATGTCAGAATATCCTGGTTGCATTGAGTGCAAGAAAATTAATGGTGACGGGTGATTACTGTGTGCTGGAAAACTGAGGGAAGTGGTAAAGGCCGGTATAGTTCTTGCTTTCTCACCGTCGTGATCAGGCGCACATTTTTTTTTCCATGCCTGTTGTAATACTTTGCTCTTGTTAAGAAAAGTTTTGTCATTTTTGTCTAGTCTAGCTGTCAAAGAGGATGCTGTGTTGCCAGTGCTGTCTGATTATGTTGCACCTGTGTGGTGCTGTTTGTTCTTCTTAACATTTTGAACTTGTGAGGTCGCTGTACCAGTTGTAGATGGTTGGCAGGTGCTCTGGTGTTTTCTCCTCTTTCTTTCCTGTCAAACATCAGTTGACCATATCTCTCCTCCTTCTTTTATTTGTATGTTACTCTCTAGTAATATTTTTAATCTTTGGGATAAATATGTTCTACTTGTGTTGCAAGTGCTGTAAAGCTCTAATGAAAACTTCAACGAAAACCCCAACCACCGGCCCAGGATGTATTTTTCAGTATCCTGTAAACCCATGTACCAAGGGCTACCCTTGTTCCAGTAGTCCAGCAGAGATGGGGATCTGGGAAATGTCAAGGTTCAGGGTTCAAGGGATAATATCTGTGTTGTCATTGTTTCTTTTTAAAAAAAATGTGAATGACGGGGATTTGCATCTTAGAGAAAGTGTTTCTAAAATTATATTGTTTCGATAGTGCTTAGTGTGAAGATGGAAAGTATTTCTAAAATTTTGCTTTTTGGTTACCCTACATTTTAAAGTAAAATCAGTATCAATCTCTACTCCCATCTGAAATCTTTTAAGATTTGATCCAGCAGGTTGTAACATTACTTTTGAGACACCTTTTGAGTTTTTTGGTTGCTATGGAGTAACCCATCACTGTCCTTGTGTTTTGTGCTGGGGTTAAGGCCCCTGATGTAAGCCTCTGGAACAGCGAAATCCTCATGGGCTACCGCATCCGGTACCGCCGAGAGCTGGACACCACAAACAGTGCCAACTGGCGCTACAAATACGCGACAGGCCTGGAGGCGCAGGTGATGTACCTTGTGGCGGGGGCCAGGTACTCCTGCAATGTCCAGGCCTATAACTATCTCGGTGGAGGTCCGTGGAGTGTCAGTGCCTTCGGATATCTCGAGATTGGTATTTGATCACCGCAATTGCTGTTCTTGGTGTTATCTCGTTTATCTTTTGAATTGTTCCCCTAGTTTTGCAGTTCCATACCTTGTTTGGGTGTTGTCTTTATTTTCCTCCTACAGATAATGAATTTTAAAAAAGTTTCTTTGCTCTTTGTGGTGAAGTTTCATCCTGTTGGCATGCTTGATGTTGGAAGTCCACGTTCATGTTTTGGTCACACCACTGCAGATTTCAGCCTCGTGATTTGGCGGCCTTTAAGGTTCATAATTTTTTTTATTAGAGTTAGACAAATCCATTTAAACAATGTGTAAAAGAAAACTTTAAGATATGAAGAAATTTCTTGCAATAGTACTGAGCATGATGAGTTATGTGGAACATATTGACTGATTGTAAGACAACATGCTTGTAACAGAAAGTAATGTCGGTAATGGTATAAGCAATACTTTAATTATGCAACCAAAAACATTCTGATGTATTTTCCCCCCATGTTTCGACTGAAATCTGTAGCGGTAATTCTTTGTTATGACAGTTCCTGGTTCTTGAAGTTGAGAAAACTTCTTGTTCTTTTTTACTTTTTCTTTTGTGATCAAAGTGTTTGGCAGCATAATTTTGGCAGGGTGTTTGGTTGGTTGGTGGGAGGGTTACACTGGAGAGAGAAAGAATTTTTTGTATACGGTGGAAGAAGGAAAGAGTTGTTTGCCATAAACCTCTTCTAAAACTGATTGGATGTTGTGTATTTGTCAATTGTTCGTCTGGTTGGGAGTTATCGCCTTTGCTCTTCCATCGATTACTTATGTCCCATGTACTCCAATCCATACTACCTCCACCACCTTTGCCCCCTGCCAGCCACTTTCTCCACCCCATCACAACAGTGTTATAGATGTACTTATTGTGCTGATTTGTTCCGTAGCTGGCACCTGAAACTGGCATGCTTTTCATTTTCTGTTTTATTTCCATGTTTTCTTTTCATTTTCTACCATCTGAATATTTACATTTTTAAAAAGCATGCCACAGAATTACTTTTTTATGTTTGACAGCAATGTTCTTTTTATTTTTACCTTCCCCCTGAGGTTAAAACATTTATTAAATAATGAGGATGGGTAATTGAATGGTCACAATATCCAAAGTGTTTGTCCAGCACCTGTGGTGTAGTAGTTAGGCTCTTCACCATTGCACATAGGAGATGGTAGTTTGATTTCTGTTTGGAGAAGCTGTTTTTTTTTCGTGTGTGTATGTCTGTCTGCTAGGATGTTGTGCCATCCCGGTCAGGTCAGAGCAGCCCATCTCCCAAATGATGTACATTGTGTCAAAAGGGCTGTAAAACAATAGAGAAAAAAGTGTACATGCTTCTCCCCTTTACAAAAAAACCCAAACCCAAACGAAACCTCCTACCTTGTGTTATCAGCCACCTGGGAACTGGACGTGGAACGGCTACATGGTCCAGGACATGGTGCAATACCGAGAAGAAGGGGCAGAGGCCTATCGAGAGGAGGAGGTCAACTTCAATCAGAACACCTTCATTAAGAGAGGCTTGACCATAGGGGTCAAATATGAGATCCGGGTTCGCGCATGTAACACAGTGGGTTGTGGCCCGCCCAGTGTGCTCCAGGTTTTCCGTGTGGGAGATATTGGTAAGATATTTCAGGAAATGAGCTCTCATGTAAGCCCTGAGGCACATGCTTTTTAACAAGTCTGCGGTTGAAATTTCTTGCTTGCAGGTTTCTTATGAGAGACTGAGCTTTTCGTCTTTTTAGTAATATATAATAGACAGTATGCTGGTAATGATCAGTATGAAATGTGCTGCTTCTATGAAAAACCCAGCAGCTGTAAATCTTGTTCAAGTTGTCTTCTTAAAGAGTAGATTTAAGTGAAAATGCCTACTTCTGTCTTATATGTAGTGCAATACATCAGTATTCAATGAACATATATGAATATATGCACACACTTTTGAATTTGGCTAAAAGAACAGACATTATACTTGAAACAGTTTTTCTTTCAATTTGTGACAAAACGTGGTTTTTCTTCAAATGGCAAAGCTCATTTAGATAAAGCAGGATTGTTCTCATGATGATACATCACAGAAGTTTCAGGAGGAAAGAAAGTCACTGAATTTGCTGGTCAAAGGAATGTGATAGCCTTGTGGGTAATTAAAGTGAAGTTCTTCAAAGCTAAACTTGAGATAAAGTGAAGTTTCACTCCACCATCAATTGCTCTAAAACGATGATATGACTTGTAGGCTTTCTCATTCTGGTACAGAGAACCTTACTTTAGTAAACACTGCTATAATGTGATAGGTCCAACTAAAGAGTTCCATATCATACTCACTATAAGTCTTTTACTGAAGATACTGATTTGGCTGCATCTCTCTGTTAGAGAGCAAATATGTCAGTCAAAGAATTTAGCTATTCAAGGCTGTTGCAAAAAAGAATATTTAAAAATGGACACTGAAATTGTATTTTTTAACTTTGACCCCCCCCCTCTTCCCTTCTTTTTTTGTTTCTGTCCCTCTTCTTTTGTTTTTGTCTATTTCGTTTAGCTCTTGGTGTTGTGATTGGCTTTTTTGATGGGATGTGGACATTTTTGTGTATATTTGACTGGTATTTTTGTTGTGGGACTGTTGGTCTGTCTCTGACACTGCATGTTGTTCTACTCTGTGATGTACCGCTTGTTTTATTTATTATATTATTCAGACTATTTTCTTTTAGTCAGTTACTAATCTGAGCAATGATTTGATGTACTAATGAATTTCCATTTGGAAACTAATGCATACTAAATACATGTTGGCACCTCATTAACTGACTTAAATAAACCCAAAACACAGAAGAAAGCCAGAAAAAAGACAATTTTTGAAAAATACTATTTTCTTACTAGTACTTTTTGAAAAAATGAAATGTTAAGGGATGATTCTGAAACCCCAGCAAATTGATAAAAATGTAAAAAGGATGAATGTTAGTTCCCAATACATTCTTGAAATGTAATGAGATGATTGTCTCATTTTTTTTTTTTCAGTGAATGTACCTAAGACCTTTTGTTCCCAAATTTCTTAATTGCATGACGACTTTACATGTAGCTGACCTTGTTCTTGACCTACTCCACGAATGGCATTGACCTTCGTTTCATCTTTCTCAACTTGTGTGCGCGTTCCCCTCCAGCCCCGACTGCGGCTCCGGTTCGTGTGACTGTCACAAGTCTAAGTTCCACGGACCTGGAGATCACCTGGCAACCCCCGCCGAAGGACAACATCAACGGAGTCTTGATTGGATACACGGTAAGAATGCTGACCGTTTTCATCATCTTCGTCATTGTCATCATCATTGCTGTAAAAAAAAAGTAGAGTAAAAAAGAAGGGTCGCAGGATATGTTTTGAACAAAGTGATGTAGATAATACAAATACTGAGGAAATGGTCTAAGACGACCTCTCATTGTTGAGGAGAAAAAGGGGTGTCTTAAACAAATGGCCCTCTTACACAGTTTCATTAAAAATTTTTAAAGGGGGGGGGGCATGGGCAGTTTTTAAATTTATTTATGGTGTTTTACGGTGCTCACAAAAGCATAAGGTCATATGAATACCTCAAATGGGAAGTGGGAGATGGGATGTTTTTATTTAATTTTTTAAAGGTGTCCCAAGACTCATGGAAAACTGTAGAGAGTGTAATGTACTCGTTTCGCCAGGTTCTGTACTGGAGTTCACCCACTGATACGTGTGAGGAGAGGAGTCCGAACTCGCTGCTGGAAAGTGGGCTGAGTGTGCTGTTGGAGGATCTCAACCCTTACACCATCTACTGCAGCACTGTGCAGGCAGTCAATCTGGCAGGAACTGGTCCCAAGAGTTCCCTGATTGCCAGGCGCACTTTGGAAGATCGTAAGCCACCATCTTGCCCGCTTGTCTGTGGTTGTCTATGTAGAAGTGGAGGGGGGGTGGGGGGTGGTGGGAATCAGCTTTTTTTCCCCTTAAAAATGGAAAAATGGGAGCCATTTTGTTTTTATTCAAATTTACCCCAAAAGATCTGCAAAAAAAATATTTTAGGAGCTTTTTTTTTCTTCAAAATGTGAACCATTTTGTTTATATTCAAATTTGCCCCCCAAAATCTGCACAAGAAATGTTTTAGGCAATTGATCATTTAAACTTTCACAGCACTTGTCAGTAATTTTGTCCTTTATTGTGTTTGGTTGATGTAGTCATGCAGCTAGTAAAAGCAAGGTGTATTATTAGCAAAATAATGTGTTAAGTTCAAACAAAACTTTGTGTTGCTACAATATGTAATGGTAGAGTAGAGGAAGGCAGGACTCAGCTTATTTCCGTAATCATGAAACTAAGTTATCAATATGCTATTGAGTAACTTTTCAACCATTAAAGATTCCATGGAAACCCCAAAACCAAAGACACAAATTTTAAAAAACCTACTAAAAGTAGGCAGAAGCTAACAAATCAAACACTCTTTTATTTTCTAATCACACTGCATTGCTTGCATAGGAATGGGCATGAGACAGACACCCCCCTCCCTCCAAAAAAAACAAAAAACAAAAACAAAACCCCCCCCACAAAAATAAACAAAACATAACTGAACCAAACCAGCCAAGAGGAAAGAGGTTGTGCAAATCTGAAAAAAACAACAATCAGTTAAATAAGTATGAGAAATTTAGCAGTATAAAAAGTGGACCATATGTACTAAAATGTCAAATTTGAAACATCAAGAACTGAGGCATGAGGTAAAGATTCTTTTCCCGTTGAGGGGTCACTCAAAATTGTTTTTAAAAATCTTGCTCTTGCACGACTCGGAGGAGTTATAAAGAAAATAAAGATTTTTGTACCTGTCCCTCTTTATGAAGGTTAGTGCTACATTAAGGTTTCTATTTCATTTCAGAGAGGTTTCCATGTGTGTGCATGTAGGATATAATATTAATTAAAGAGTGATTTAAACGAAGCCATAATGTCTTTCTCCCTATTTAAATATAAATGATTGAATGAGCTGTAACAACATCTCCTAAAACTTCCCCTGTAAACCAGTTTAAAAATGTGGCAGTGAACCAGTTTTGGAAAATGAAAGGCAGTACATACATCTAAGCAGCAGTAAAGAAGTTATGTTAAAGTGTCTCTTTAAATGTGGTTGTTTCCCATTGTTTCCTCAGGTCCGGGTCCTCCGGCCAACTTGAGGTTCAGCAACATCGGTCTGGAGGAGCTGGTGGTACAGTGGGACCCGCCAATAGTGCCCAATGGCCTCATCAAATCGTACGAACTACAGTACTACGTCACGGTGGATGGGGGTGAGTGACAGAAAGCACCGTCAAAATTGTGGAAGACAGCCACTTGGCGATATGGGCCACCTGAAGAAAAGTGGTCACTTAGACTGATAGATGTCTTACAATGGCATTATAGTGTGGGAAATGAGGGGAAATGGGGAGTGGCCATTTGTGTATATGATTGATTCATTCAGGTGGCTGTTAGAGCAGGTCTGGCTATACATCTATCCTTTTAGAATTTGGTGAAGTTTGAGAGACATAAATTGCTTGCTTCCTTTTTTGAGTAATTGGTTATGTTGAGGAAATTTTTGTCCCACAACATTTCTGACAGTATTAGTGTTTTGTTGAATTTTATTTTGCAACCTTCATGACTGAATTTGGTGCTGTTGTCGAATCTTTGTAACCTATAAGGCTTGAACTGTTGGTGTTGTAAAATCATCATTATAAGGTAGGGATGTGTGTATAATAAACAGTAAAAAGTCAACAGCATTTATGGTTTAGACTTTACTGAGAACATGACAAAAAGGGAACTCCCTAAGTGCCAAGGAAGAGAACAGGAAAAAAATGAAGCAGAGGGATGAGTATTGCATCGCTTAGAATTTGGGTACAAGAGTGCAGCAGAATTCTATTTTTTTCAACAGAACCGCGTATATATTGTTTAAGCTGTATTGCATAACACTTAAAACAGAAATTGGTATTGTCGTATAGTATTTTTTAAATCATAAAATGCTTTTGACTGAAATTGTTGGTGTGTTTTTAACTTTAGAACACAACCTTCAGAGCAGAAATAGTTTGTGTGGAAACTTTATTACACTGCCTTCAGGGAGGAAAACGTTGATGTAGTAGCATTTTTATTATGCAACCTTTTTGGGGGGAAATTGGCGGTGCTGTAGAAACTTCATTACACTACAGTAGTCTCCGCCTAAACGCACGCTATTCAAAAGCATGCTCCGCTCAAACGCACGCTTTCGTCATCTGACGGGTTTTTACTATATAATTTAGACGTACAAACGCATGATCACTCTCTCTAAAAGCACGGTCCGATCCGTGAAACACACCGACAAGTTAAGCTTGACAAGGAGAAATTTTCACTACAACCTGCACAGCCTGCATAAGACAAGCCTAGAAAACCGGATAGTTGGTGAGACTGCCCCTCACGCCGAACAAAGAGAGTGATGGACGGCGTTTTCACTCCCAACTTGCCACAGAAACATAGGTCAAGGACTAGTTGGTAAAAAGTTGGGGGACTGACATGATTTTTTTTTATTGGTCACTGGAAATGTATCTTTGAGAGAAGGTTTCTGACTGGTGTTTGGGTGACGACGTTTATTTTAATGTTAAGTTAGACCTAGGCCTGATGCGCGACACGCGTAAAACACTAGACAGGCCTCTAGATCTATAGCCAAGTAAGCCTAATCAGCTGCGCTCGAAGAACTTAAGACGTACTTTTTCAACGAATCGCTAAAGAAATGTTTTTAGGAATGTAGAGATCTATGATGCTGATGTCGTCCATGAATTTACCGTAGGGGGTGGTCCCTTGGAAAGCCATGTGGTTGGGCCATCGTCTCTATAACTATCACCAACAGTTCCCTCCTAGGCTATCTTATAGTGCATATTCATTACATTGAGTCTTGTCTTTCTCCCCCCAAACGCCTTTGTATTCTTAAGCCCAGTCGGGGAATCCTTCACAAAACAGTCATGTGTTGTCACATCATCGGCCAAAATGACCCCCACCCTCCAAGGGAGGTCACTACAGTAATAAGGAATTGAGATGACTGCACCCCTTCCTCCCTTTGCAAAGGTTCATGCTCCATATAAACACATGCTAAAGAGCCCTCCCAAGCACCGTGCGTTTAGGCGGAGACCATTGTACCTTGAAAGCAGAAATTGTCAGAGTTGAAATTGGCTATGCTGTACAAGGATAATCTGTTACCTATGTTTTTATTTCATCTTGGAGATTTCAGTACTTTGATTTGAAGACTGATTTCTGTGTCAAGTAATGACCTACTAGGTCTTGTAGTTTTCTCTAAAAGACTGTAAGTTATGAATATTTGAATTAGATGCATGGAGTTTCTGTGGGTATAGCTCTATCAGAAAAGAGCTGTAGATTTGTAATTTCAGTTGAGAAATAGAATTGTTATTATCAGTTGCTGATGAACTGATTTTCTCTCTTGCTTTTACTTTTAAATTCTAAAGAAACGGCCAAGGTGACGCGGACACTAAGTGGCAGCGAGACACAGCAGAATGTGACAGACTTGGCAGAGGAGGAGAGGTACACGTTCACCCTGGCTGCCTTTACTGCTATCGGGAAAGGGAATGTGACACAAAAGAGTGTCCGCACCGGATGGCAGCCTGGTAAGTCTAGGAAAATAGGTTTTTTTCCAGAGAAATGTTGCTGAAATCCTAGATATCGTTGAGCTGCTGTTAAATTGTAGGCTCCAAAGTCTAAAATTTTGAAATAAAAAAAAAATTTGCAATTTCTTTATCTGTGGTATTGGTTGCATATGCTCAAGAAATATTTTGTCAAGATAAATTCTAAATAGAGAGAAACAACAAGGTAAGATTGAAGAATGAAACAGTTTTTTGTCTCTCCAGTAAAATTTTGGTTTCTGAGCTTAGAACATTTTAACAGCTTGCTGACAGTATGTAGAATGTTTCCCTTGGGGGAGGGGAGAGGAAAAGGGGGGGGTGCATTTACATTGAATTTGTGAATCCCAGTGTGATTTTTCTCATGAGTAATACAACTATCATCTGTTGCTCTGTGTGGCCGCAGGTTCCCCTGATCCGCCTGGGCGGCCGACCGTCATGCGTCAGTCGAAGAACCTGGTCATCACGTGGGAGAAAAGAGGGCCAGGGAAGTCGCCAATTACAGGCTATCTGGTCCGTTCCAAAGAGAGAACAAGCAGACAAGCCAGGTCCACGGGTATGTCATGTCGTACATTTGATACAATTCTGTGTCTGTGAATTTTTTTTGCTTTTAACAAATTGTAATTTTTCAGGGCAGCTTTCTTGGGTTTTGTTTTTCCTAGAAATATTTGTTAGAGGTTGATTTCCTTTAGTGTTGTAATTTTCCAGGAACTTGTTCATAGTTGGTATCATGTAATGTTTTGTTTCGCTTAAAACTTGTTGCTGTAGTTTTATTTTCTGTGTTTTGTTTTTCTTAGCACTCATTCAAGGCTGATTTCTTTGTGTTTTTATAAGAACTCTAACTCTTTGGGCCCGTAATTGTTTTCCACTGACACGCCCATTATGCTGGAATTAATTTTCTCAAAAGCACCCATTACAATAGAATACCTTATTCAAATTGATTCTGTTGCCATATTTTTTCAGTGATTTAATACTACTGGAAAAGTGATTGAACGAACTATCACAATAGATGGGTTGCCTGGTTCTTTGTGTTATTATGTAAGAGCAATTGCGCTATAAAGGGGGGTAATAACTGAAAAATCATTAAATCGGCTAGTTTGATGAGTTTCTTCCAGCTTACTGTCACCACTACCCATGAAATACAGACTGATACTCAACAGAAATGTTTATAAGTCACCTTTGTCTCAATACCACACAAGTAGGTATTCCAGAACAGATCTTGTTCTATAATTTATATTTGGAGTATTTTTGTTTTTAATCTTGCATTTTCTCTAACCTATGTGGTCATTATCATGTCAGTATGTTTCTCTTTTCTAGAAGATAAATGAATTTTAAAACCCCCCAAAAAACAAAAGACTCAGCAAATGGCTAATTCCATTTTCAAAGCTTATTATTTTGGAAAAGAAAAGTACGGTTTCTGGGATACTTAAATAGGCGTAAGAGCCTTGAACACTTAGCTCTCACAGGCAACATGGAAGGCAAACAAGTTAGGGGTAGAACCAGACCATTCTTCTTTCGAGAGCCTAAACAAATAGGTGACGGGGAAAGATCAGGATAATATAGCTTTTTTGAGAGCAGTTGAACAAAGGAATGAATGGAGAACGATGATCATCTATGTCTGTTGCAGATCTGGCACTTTATGATGATGGTTGTTATTTTTTTTGGTTAATATCCTCAGCCTCAAACAAGTGGCAGGAGTTGGTGAGAGTGAACAGTCCCGAGCCTTCTGCCACGGTGCACCTCAGCCTTCTCAAGCCTAATGTGAGCTATGCTTTCCGGGTCAGGGCCATCAACTCATATGGAATCAGCAACGCCAGCTTGGCGACAGACTTCTATGAAACGCCCAGCTCTTGTGAGTTTGCCGTCATCACATAGCAGTGGGGGAAAGTTTTTTATTTTTTTGTTTTTTGTCCGATATTCAAGGTGGAATTTTGCAGATGATTGGAGGGAGCCATCAACTTGTACTGTATCCTGGCCACCAATACCAATGAGATGCCAGGGGAGAATTTTTGTTAATTGTGTTGTCTAATGATTTAGATGGACTATTGTGGGTGGTTAGAGGGTGCTAGTGATAGATCTTACTTCTTTCCTTTCCCTCTTTTGTTTCTGTCTGTCCAGTTTACTTTTTCCTAGAAGACCATTATTGTGTCCACATGCTTCTTTTTATTCGAAGTAGGGGAATTTTTTTGTCATGGATTATTTTTGTGTTGTCTGTTTACATTCCCCTTTAAATTTATTTATTGGGATAATCTTATAAATTCTGATTGTTGTCTTTTCCTTGCTCTTGCTGCAACCTGCATTCAATGTGTGTGTGCATGTGTGCAGTTATTGGTTTGAGGCCACCACTGGTAGGTCTTATTTCTTTACTTTCCATCTGTTGTTTCTTTCCGTCTGTCTTACTTTTTCCCAGCACTAAACGACCATTATTGTGTTGATGTGCTTCTTTTTACTGAAAGTTGTCTAAAAATTTCTTTTGTGTTTAAACTGGCCCTAATTTCTGAAAAGTTGAAAAAAAAGCCATTTTTTATCGTGACACTTCTTTTTGTATGAGATCTTATGGAATATTTAGGACTGTCCATTGCTTCTAGAACTGTATTTTCTTTTACTGCAATTAAATAAAATGTTATACAATATTTATGCATTACCTTTAACATCTCCCAAAATATTTCAACCTTTCAAGTAGTACAAGATATTTCTGTTCCGTCTGTAACATCATTCAAAATGTTTCTACCCATCCAATAAATTACCGTGATGTTTTCTGTTCCAGTGATTGTGAGGAAATCGGCACCGTTCTACACACAGTGGTGGTTCCTCATCATTGTGGCCCTGATTGGCATCGTTCTCATCCTACTGGTTATCACAACTCTGTGTTACATGGGCCAGAGACGCAACAAAGGCAGTGAGTTGTTTCTCCTCTGTTTGACTTAACGTTCCTGTAATAAGGGGACTGATGTTGTAAATGTGTTATGGAGATACTGACAAAGAGAATTACCGTTGAAATTGTCCAAGATGGCCACCAACTGTTAAAGAGAAAAGTTGTTGTCTTAGACGGATGGATGCCTAGGGTAGTGTCATTGTGATATAGAAAAATGCAAAGGGAGAAGTGGGATGGCTTGTGGCTGTTTGTACAGTGAATTGTCTTGGACAGTGGACCTTAAGAGCAGGTTTGACTTTATTATGAAGTCGTGTGAGCTTCCAGTTAGAAGGAATACAAAACTGTAAGTTGTTGAACACCTCTTCTGCTTGCAGGGAATAAATGCTCTGCCTTTAGGTTCACAATGAATATTTACATTACCTTTTGGCTGGCAATACCTAAATATGTTGCCTTTTTGTCTCACAATGAATATATACATCCCCTTTTGGCTTATTATACATAGGTACATTTCTTCCTGGCTCACAATGAATATCTATTGCTTTTGGCTTAACATAGTCCTGCCACTGACAAGTGTATGCACTCCTCACCTGCACCTGAAGACATGAACATCAGCTCTCGTGAGTTGTTATTTTTTAAAGTAACTATAAAGCACACCAAATAACAACTGGTCATTAGTTTTATATGCTGCCGTTAAAAAAAAGTTTTGTTCAGGATTTGATGCAAAGCAAAGGACATGTGTAGTTATCTGATCTTTAGAGGCATTGTTGAGTCAAAATCTACAATTTATAAGCGTGTGTCTTGAAGTAGTTTACTGACATTGTGTGTATTTTGAAGAATTCCTTTAATTTTTCCCTCTGTTGCAGGTGGTGAATGTGGTTTGTGTTCGCTTTTGATCATTCTATGTATCGGCTAGATCTGTTCCTGGCGAAATATGGCTATTGTCATGCCTCAGAGAACACTCTATGCTGGTGGTGGTTGGAAGGGGCAGCTGTTTGACTCCACTTTTTTTCTTGTCCTTTGCTGTTTCTATTAGTATGTCTGTCTAGCTTCATTCTGGCACCTAATGATTGTTATGTCAATGTGCTTCTCTTTACCCAAAGCTCAAGGACTGTTTCTTAAACTCTGTTGTCTGAACACGAACAACTATTTTGTCTGTTCAAACAGAAGACCTGAAGCGATCAACGACCAACACTACCATGATGTCCGTGACCCCAGAGCCAGAAGACGGTGGATTCCCATCTCTAGAGCTGCAACGTTCACGCAGAAGTCTGAACAGAAACGGCAGAGTACAGAACAATATATATGCCAGGTGAGAACTGACTGTTAACAAAGTTCGAGGCATTTCCCACTCTTCAGACTTGTGGTTGAAAAGTGAACAATTAGATATTGTGTCTAATCAGAAACTCTTTTCTGATCGGGTACTTTTCAGGTTTTTTCTTTTACATTCATGATTTGATCTGTGTGGTTATTTTCAAATATTTGGTACTTTTTAATAGTTGTGTTTGAGGTTTTTTCCGTTCATATCTCGTTCTGTGTTACTATTAGTATCCAGTATGTGGTACTTTTGGTTGTTAGGTTTCATGTTCCTCACATTCATATCTTGGTCCTTGTAGCTATTGTAATAATTATTATTATCATGATAGTATTTGTGGAGTTGAAGGCTGTCAGTTATGAGTAATTTGTACTAACTGTACCTTGTCTTCTGGTCTTCTCCAGTGAGTCTATAGGTGGCTCATCCTTTATTCCTCTCTCCTTCCACTCCTCTAGTCTTCCTCTTCCCGTCCTTTCCTGTGAGTCTGGTGTGGTTTGTCCCCCATTTATGTCCCTAAAGGACTAACTTTTCCCCCCACTTGGATTGAAATATCTTAAATTGACTGCTTTATTGTATTGTTTGTGATATCTTAATGAGAGTTTGTTTTTGTTTGTTTCAGATTTATTAGTATTGTAGGGGGCACTTTGAGGGCGCCACTGATAGGTCCTACTTTTCTTTCCATCTTTAGTTTATGTCTGTCTTGCATTTTCTTTGCACTAAATTATTGCCATTGTGTTCATATTCTTCTCTTTACTCAAACAAACAAAACAAACTGATGTTTTTTAGACCTATATTTGTCCTGTTCTTTGTATGTACTGAGTGCTCAGATGAAATATCTGGTTTTATGATTGAAACCCATAACTTTGTATTCATTCCTGTATGTTGATGAACTGATTAGCATTCAATAGTAATTATGTTAAATTGAGTGTCATATATTGATGCTGCGATGCTCTGTCATGTAATTGATTTCTTAAAATTTTGTCAACATGCAAAAAAACCCAAACCCTTGTGATTTAAATGATGGGAGACGACAGAAACGTTAGCTCACAAAACTGTTATGCTATTCATAGTACACATTTTCTCCTGATTTTTTTTTGGGTGGACTTGTAGATTGACCACCGCAGTGGTTATAAAGAAAAAAAAAGAGTTATTCTATTTTTTCCACACACACAGTGAGATCACAATGGCAGCTATATAAAGATTTTGTTTTTTGTTTGTTTTTAGGTCACCGCCTCGCCCAAGCCCTGCGAGCGTGACCTACTCGGAAGACTTACCTCCTGTGGCTGGGGCCTCAGGGGGTGGGGCTGTTGGTGGTGCTGCGGCCATCAAACCACCGATGTCAGACGACGGGAGCTCTGTCCTGTCGGAGAAACCATCCAACCTCGGTGACTCCTCTGATGAAGTGGTAAGAGAAGATGGTCTCATGGAGACTTGCAATGTCTGTATGAAGAAAACAAAGATTTGAAAAATATTAAGTGGACTTAACTGACCCCACTGAAAAAGAACTGAAATGTTTTTAAATGAAAAAATAGGAAGTCTAGTCTGCAGCAGCAACAAATAAGTTGAGACTTCCAAAAAAAAAAGGAAAGACAATTATTTCTATCTGTAGAGAAAGTCTCTTTGTAAAGCTAACTCATTTTCAAAATTAATTCAGTATGTGCAACAACCCAAAATTCACGCAGGTGCTATCTTAACCTTTTTTAAGCCATACCAGTCTTCCCTTCACGTTGCCATACCGGTTTTTACCGACTTTCCTGCTGTACGGATTTTACTGGCCTCACACACCGGATAAGGAGAACTACAATGGCTAAGGCTAGTTTCAATAAATAGAAACATCTCAATGAACACCAAAATGAAAGTCCTGAAATACTATGTTTGGTCAACCCTTCTATACGGCTGTGAATGCTGGACAATCACTAAAGAGAGTGAAAATAAAATAGAAGCAACAGAAATGTGGTTTCTTAGGAGACTGCTAAGAGTATCGTGGAAGGAAAAGAAATCAAATGAGGTAGTGCTTGATGAAGCCCATGGGGGACGCTCAATGTTAAAAGCAATCAGGAAACGACAAATGCAGTTTTTGGGACACCTGAATAGACATAAAGGTCTTGAACATCTAGCTCTCACTGGCAAAATTGAGGGCAAGCGAGGCAGGGGTAGGCCCAGAACAACATACTTAGGGAACCTAAACAAATGGGTAACAGGGAAAGATCAGGGAAACGTAGCTTTTTTGAGAGCATCTGAGCAAAGGAATGAATGGAAAACCACAATCGCAGATGTCTGTGGCAGATCTGGCACTGGATGATGATGATGAATTTAGAAGCTGATGTTCTAGGTCTTTTTATTTGAAATTTAATTGAAATACGTCACCTAGATCAAAAGCAAAAGCAATTTCTTAATTACATCCCTGAACCTCTGAGAAACACTGAAATAATTTGGTTCTGCTGTGCTGACCTGCTGACCTCTTTATGGTGCTAAAAGGGTTAAATAACAATAAGATATATATCGAAAAGAATATAAAACTCAAAACTCAAATAATCAGACTATCAGACCAATCAAACGTGACTTTGTCTTCCTTTCCAATAATTATGAGGACATCTTTTTTGTATGAAAGTGCTATAGGACTCATAATTATTGGCCCCTTGGATTTATCACATCTGCATGAGACAGCATACATATGTATGAGTAGAAAAGGAAAAAACAAAGAAAGAAGAAGAGAGAAGTGGAAAGGAGAGAGAAAGGGAGTAGTTGTTTTAGAGAGGGAGAGAGAAAGGTTAATATGTTCTTACTTTTATAATTGGTGTGATATTTGTGTAGTCAAAGATGAGGACACCGCAACGTCTGTTCCCGGTTTTGGGGACATCATTTTGTCTTCTTGCGTTTCTCATAGTGTTTTATCCTTTCTCTCAGCTTCTCTTTTTTTCTATGATGATCTCCTATCTTTTACCATAATGTTTTCTTATCCTTTTTTGTAATCTTCCCTTATCCTTTGTCATGATCAAAGGCGTCGGTGGCCTATTGGTTAGGCTCTCGGACTCGCAACCATAAGGTTGTGGGTTCGAATCCCGTCAGGGTCCCGACGTTGTGTCCTTGGGAAAGGCACTTTACATGAATTTTCCTCACTTCACCCAGTTGGGAATGGGTACCCGGCTATAGACAGCGAAAGATCTTGTCAGTTTGTTAGTGTTTAAGCGCTTAATCAGCTGCTTGCACTGTATGCTTCCCGGGAAGCAGAGAATGTTTCGGAGTGTTCTATGGTCTGCTGGGGTAATAATATAGTGTAGAGCGCATAGAGCCTGCTGTTGAGCGGGGATATGCGCTATACAAATGCTATTTATTTATTATTATTATTATTATCATCTCCTGTTTTTCATCATAATCTTTTCTTGCCTGTTTTCATGGTCTTGTTCCATTTAAAAATCATAATTGTATCCTGTGTTTTACCATAATCTTCTCTTGTCCTTCTTCCTGGTATCTTTTCTTTTCTTTTATGGTTATGTAGGACCTATTTTATACTCTATCATATGCTCTAATTTCATTGCAAGTTCCCGAAAACTCTTACTGAAAACAAACATCATGCTTTTTAGCACGTTTAGTCTATTCCTTTATTATAATGTTTGTCTTTAAATTGTTTTATAGGTCTTCTCTCTTCTTTTGTCGTAATATCTTCACTTACCCTTTATTATATTATTCCGTCTTCTTTTTTATTTCATCCTGTCTTGTACTTGATTATAGTGTCTTCACTTGCCTTTTATCCAAATGTCTTCTTTTATCCTTTATTATATATGTAATGCCTTTCATTCTTTATTATATTTTTTCTCTTATACTTTATTATAAGGTGTTCTCTTACCCTCAATAATATATTGCCTTTTGTTTGTTCAACTATTTGTTATTGTCTTTTATAATCTCATCCTGTTCTTGGTCAAGTATTTTCACATCTTCATCTGTCACTGATGATGATGAGTCTCTGTGTTTCTCTTTTAGTCGAGTGATGAAAGTGATGACAGCAGCAATGAATCCATTGCCAAAGTGCCGGTCCCTGCCTCCCCGCCACCCCCAGCCTTCAGCAGCAATTTTAGCAAGAGCCACAGCCACCACCACAACAACAGCAGCAGCGGCGCTGGCGCCAGCAGCAGCAGCAACAACAACAGCAGGCCTGGGAATTCTTCCTGGAGGTTCCAGAGCCCCAATAATGCCTACACATACACAGACAGTGAGGCGGAGAGCAGCCATTATGCCTTTAGCCTAAACAACGGCAACCTGGTCGTAAACAATGTAGCAGGGGCAAGAACTCCTTTGTCAGGATTTTCCTCTTTCGTATGACGAGAGCTGTGACAGATATTTTCTCCGCTGTACAGTTCTTGTTTTATGTGTTGTGATGAAAAAGAAATGAACAAAGTATTCATCTGGTCTAGAACAGATCTCAGGAAAAATTCTGTTATGTCATGGCAGAAACTGTGGATTAGGATTTCTTGGGGAGGAAACAACCCTCTTGTTGGAAGTGTTTTTTTTTTCATCTACAGCATTACACCGTGTATTCCTTGTCGATATGGAACTTTTATATTTCTGTGAGTACAAGCCTATGCATAAACATTCCAATAATCCATGTACAGTTGAGCTGATTACATCAAAAATTTTGAAATATATCTCTCCATATGGTGTGTTCAGAGATATGAAGTTCACACCTCAGGAGATTTGGACATTATGAGATTTTAGTTTGTTGAAGTACAGTGCTGTGTTTGGGGGCCAGATGCAGCTTTAGGAAGTGACCTTGTGATGAATTGTGGACTCTCATTGGCCCAAGTCTGAAAAGTTCCACCGATAAACTGCCCTCTGGTTTGGAAACATTTATTAACTTTGTCAACTTTTAGCATTCATGGTCTTTTAGTTTCTCTTGTTTTGCTGCTCTCGATGTTGACTTTTGCTTTTATTATTGGTAGTTCCACCATGGAAGTTTTATACTTAAGAAATTGTACACTGATTAATAAGAAACTGGAAGCCTAACTTTCTTGGAAATTTGTTCTCTCTCTTGTGCTATTCAGTAGCAGATCTTTGACCTATCCGCCTCTACAGAACAGGAAAATAACTTTGGATAGGAAAAAGAGACAGTTACTTTGTATAATTACTGAAAGTAAGCGTGAAATCCTGTGCTTGATCTTTGTTTGATTAGGTGAAATTGTCCAAGATGGCCACCCATTGTCGAGGAGAAAGGGGTTGTCTTAGACAGGTGGATGTGTTGGACAGTGTCATTCTAACAGAAAAAAAAAATGTAAGAGGGGAAGTAGGAAGTGGTCGTTTGTAACAGTGATTTTCTGGGACAGGTGGCTGTCAGAGCAGGTTCAGCTGTTTTTCTTTTTTACACATCTATCATATCGTCATTGCAGTTGGCTATTCACGTATGGAACAAAAGTTGAAAACTCAGGTCTTATGGCATTTGACCTAAGTACAATCTTGAAAAATCAGTTCTCACACTTTACTTTGCATCAATAATTCATGGCAACTCGGGAATTAATTGTAAAAACAAGAGACTAAAATGCATAATAGACAAAAAAGCTTTTTTCTCATTTTCTCAAAAGTATCTCCATGTGTGGATAGCGAAATGCACTGACGATATGGTATTTTCTCTCCTCAGTGGAGCACATAATTGTGTCACAAATGGAACTTTCCAAGGCTCAGTGCCTGTTACTGGTTTTGACACTCCCTGGACCTGTGGGGCCTCAGTGGGTCTCGTTGACTCCTCACTGTTTGTGTTCTCCTGTATATAATACCATGCACCTGTCATGTTGATTTGTTTTTCTATTCTCATTGTAGATTTTTTAAAGGAATGTACAGTTTATTTTTTCTAATCTCTCTTTTCGGTGCAAGTAGCACTTTGAAATTACAAACATTGCGCATAACTTTTCTTGTTTTAGATGTCTCTCTGCGTGCTGTGGTCTTCCCTGCTCCATACTGTCATGTCAGCAGTAAACACAGATGAGTTTGTGTGTGTGAAAAATGGGATGTTTGTGTATTGAATATATTGAAAGTTGATTGGTAGAGAGTGCTGCGCTTAATCATTAAAAAAATTCTTTTTTTACACATAAATATAATAGGTGTTAAATTAGGAGGTCCAACCATAAAAAAAATCTCTCACTTCTTGCAGTGTTTTGATTTTTAAAGAGTATTATTCCCAAGACATAGACTATTATTATTATTATTTGACTAGGAATATTTTGAAGCATTTGTTGGAAATGTTGGTTTGAGTAAAAGCTGATGGGTGTATCATGTGTATCATGTTGATATGTAAATTTATTTATGAATGTTTATAAGCTTGTGTTTGTGTGTGTATATACAGGTGTGCTTGTTCATACTGTTTGAAAGTACCACAAATGTGTGTAAGTGTGTGTCAGTCTTGTGAGTGTATATGTGTATATGTTGGTGTGTATGGAAAACTAAATTGTTTTTTACATTTTCAGTTTGTGCTACATGAAATGCATGATCAACTTGGCATCAGTATGTTTGACATGAATATATGCATACTCTTTTACAAGGACCCGTTGATGGGTTCAGACAAGGTTGGTGGGTGGTTGGCGGGTGCTCTGGTGTGGTTTACTTCTTCTTTCCTATCAAACATCTATTGTCCTTATCTCCCCTTCTTCTTTTTTATGTTTGTTACTCTCTTGTAACACCTCTAATCTTCTGGCGCTCATATGACCTTATGCAGTTGCGAGTGCCGTAAAACCTCTACTAAAACTATAAACTAAGACAAGGTTGTCTTAATAAAACCATTCAGTACCTATATATAGTACTGGAGAGACTTAATTACTACAGTCCATTAGTGATGAATGAACTGACAAACTATATATATAAGAGAGTGAAGCTCATTATCAGGCTCTTTAAAGGTTGTTAGAATATCACTTGTTTGTGAGCTTGTACACATAATTCCCTGTGCGTGCGCAAGTGTATGTGTATGCATGTGAGCGTGCGTGTGTGCGCGCGTGAGTGCGTGTGTGTGAGTGCGCTTGTGTGTGCGCTTGTGTGTGCGCTTGTGCATGTGCGCTTGTGCGTGTGGGTGTGTGTGTGTGTGCGTGTGTGTGTGTGTGTGTCTGTGGTGTGTGTGTGTGTGTGTGTGTGTGTGTGTGTGTGTGTGTGTGTGTGTGTGTGTGTGTGTGTGTGTGTGTGTGTGTGTGTGTGCATGCAAGGGAGAAAAAAGAGAAGGGAGAATGAGGAAGAGAGGATTCTAAAGTTTATTCATGTACTGTTGACATTGATGGCTAAGTTTATTTGTTCATGTAATCTTTATTGTATGTAAAGCACTTTGCACTTGCACAGTGGAGGGGATGTCGTACCAGTGCAATCCATTATTATTATTTCCAGAAATGGTATGGTTTATGTCGTTGGTTGCTACGCCCTTGAATATATTTCTTCTGGAGTCAGTGATTAGTTGTTTTTTTTACTTACACTACACAAATGAACGCACATGATATTAGTCTGAGTTGTCTGAAAAGAAAACAAAAAAACAGCTCAAATGGACTGTTCATCAAGTACAGTCTTTCTTTGGCTCACAGCCACAAAAATATATTCAGTTGAAACTATCCAAGATGACTACCCATTGCCAAGGAGAAAAAAGTGGTCATCTTAGACAAGTGGTTCTTTTGGACAGTCTCATTTTAGTATAAAAAAATGCAAGGGGTGGGTAGAAGGTTGTTTGCACAGGCTGTTGTCTTGGAGAGGACAGATGGTTCGACTTAAATTCTATCATTTAGATTGTGAATGAGATGCTCAGTTTGTCTGTTGATTTGTTTGCCAGTGTCGAGCCTCTGATTGACTTTGCCATAGGCTTTATTTATATGAATTTTTAATATGGCCAGATGGATCAAAGACAAATGGCTCCTGTTTTTAGATTTTAGTGGATGAGATTTATGTTTCGCTCATTTTTCTTTGCTGCACTTTTATGTAAATATGTTTGGTAGGAAGATTTGAACCTTTACAGTTTGATATAAATGTCTCCAATAAACATTTCCGCCCAGATACTTATGCAAGCATGGAAGTTACTGCAGTAAGGCTCCTGTGAATTCCGTTCCATTCAAACTGTTGAGACAAAGGGGACCACGTCAGAGTTTATCTGCTTGAGTTTTATTATATTAGTGAATTTCATTTCTGTGTCTCTTGGATTGATTTATTCACATCAGTGTGAGTTCTATCGTTAAGCCAAGGAGTTACACTGTAAGTAAGAAAAAGAAGCAGTGTTGTTACCTGAGTATAATGCTATTGTGATTATTTTGTTAACTTCCCTGATTGTCGGGGACACCCCCCGGGAACAAGAAAGAAGAGAAGTTAGTGGTGGTGTGGACCCCCCCCCCCCCAGTCTGTCTGTCTGTCTGTCTGTGCCTCTGTCCCTGTCTGGCCTTTCTCTCACTCTCTTTCTTTTCCCCTCTCTCTCTCTCTCTCTCAAAAAATGCAGGGCACATTCCCCCCAGCCCTTCATGGCACCATTCACGTGGGCCCATCATCGTCTGAAGTCACGCCACTCTGCAGTAACTACTTTTAAAACTAATTGAGTGCACAAAGTCCAGGGAACCCCTATCCTCCTGTGCATAGTATACATGATTATATACTTTACCTGAGATCACATATATTTGGTTTCATGTGACGGACCCACCTAGACATTGTAGGAAGTTGAAACTTGTGCTCTTAGTATATGGTCAACCTGTGATAAGACTGGCTATCCCACAAAATATCAAGTTTTAAAATATTTGACGAAGGGACAGTAAATTATTCATTTCATATGTATAGTCAAAGACAGGTCTGACTTTTGATAAAAAATGCTCCTAAAAATTTAAAAATAAAGCCGAACAATTGGTCAACGACCTGGTTGCTGCATGATGAAACCAGATAAGTTTATTTGCTTTTTCTGTAAAATTTGCTCGGCTGGAGTTACTGGTCTCATCACAAGGATGGCAATATGTAACACCCCACACCCAGCACCAGTTGATCTTCTCACAATGACCGATGTGGTGAAGACAAGAATTTTGTTATACTTAAACATTGTAGTTTGTTCTTTAAAAATTTGAAAGTACATCGTTAACACTTTGTCATCATATATTGGGGAAAATCCAAAGAAACTGGGTGGTAAACATCGCCAATCGGTGAGATGAGGCGGCAAAGTGTTAAGGTATGTCGTAATCTAGACTTGTGGTTGATGCTGATTGGTTGCTTAGATTAGTGTAAGATGCCGTAGTCTTACACCGAGCTGTCAAGATACTTTGTTGATTTGAATGTTTGTGACACATGATCAGGAATTGATGACATTCAGGTCGTGTTTGTTGATTTACTCTAGCCACAGATACAAATAAAGGGGATGAAGGGAATATTGTATTGAAATCAGGGACGAATAGCTATTTTATGTCAATTTATCAGGCTGTTTTCAGCATTGGTCGAATTTGTTGCTTTTTTTCCCCCAACAAGAGTTGGTGGCTTGAATGAATGAGAGACAAGAGCGACGCAGCCGAAATGGATCACACTCATTACACTTGAGACGAAAGAGGTCATTATTGAGTAAATTGATCGAAACGATAAGACAAATGCTTAAAATGTCGAGGTTTCAATCCAATACTTTGTTGTCAGTATCCTCATATGGGCTTTTTACTGTTACCCTCCCTTGAATTTCAGCAAATAGGAGATATGGGTATAATGAGATACTATGCTTAATCTGCTCAATCTCAGAATTGCTGAGTTTGACAGAACCGAGTACAATGTATATTCTTGTAAGATTGGAAATCTCCAAGTATCTACACATGAAATTATAAGTTTGATTGATAAGAAAGGGGGTCCTTTCTGAACAAATTCTCTCCCGAGAGCCTGCCTGTGGAATGTGATACTCTCTCAGGTTGTTAATAAGAATTTGTGTATTAAAATATGGCTGCAGATAATCTATATATATTGAAACTGATGTTGTTTGTCTATATGTAGCATGTTGCATAGTGGAGCCCAGCTAGTATAACATTGTTAGTCATATTTCTGTAGGTATAGGTGTTCTGCTTATTATGATATATATGGGTCATATAAGCGCCAAAGATTAGAGGTGTGGGTGGTTTGAACCTTCTTTCCTATCAAATGTCTATCTTCCCTGTCTCTCCTTCTTTTTTGTGTTTGTTACTCTCTTTGTAACACCTCTAATCTTCGGCACTTTTATGACCTTATTGTGTTGCAAGTGCTGTAAAACTCTTACTAAAACTAAAATAAAAGATAGGAGGTGTTAATAGAATAAAGAGTAACAAACATAGAAA